AAGGATATGGAGAAAATGAAAAAAAAAAAAGAGATCATTTATATATTTATCTCATAATTCTTATGTATTTATATGTCCAACACTTTAAGGATGTTATTATTACAAAATTTTCAAAAGTGAAATACATTGTTTCATATATATAAATTTATCACACTTATTTGTAACAAATATAAATATCAAAATTTAGGTATTATATATGTAAGTAAAAGAAGAACTATGACTATGGGGTATGTATGCAATTTTTTCCAAAAAAAATATAATTAGTTGTTTATTGTACACAAGAATAAATTGGTAAAGAAAAGCCATTGAACATGAATGAAATTCTATAATGTAATGCTTATGGAAGAATAGGTAGAGAGCCTTCCCTCTAATTAGGTGACTCGGGCTCTAAGCATATTCAAACTGCTAATTTATGTCATAATTATTCTTAAAACTTAACGTTGAAAAAAAAAAGAATAAATTATAGATTTATCTTTTTCTGTGCTTCTTCCATGGATGATATTGTTCAACTTTATGAAAGGATGAAACTATCTTGTTTGTTATAATATTTTTTTACTCTATTTTATTTTATTTTTTATTATAATAGATATAAAAAATTAATGTTATTTATTATGACTTGAAGAATCGTTTACCCAGTAATCTAAGAATATAGATTATTTATTCATGCACATCATTTAAATCATAATCTTATAACTTATCCTTCAATATGTATCACACTTTCTTATTGTGCTACTTCATCATGATTCTTAAATTTTTTTATGCACTTGAACCATCATTCATTATTTTGAATGCATTTTGATTTATGACCATGGTTATATGTTTTAGAAAAGTACTATTTATACTTAAATATTCCTAAACATCGTATATTTATGTCTTGATATACTCTAAACTCAACTATGTCCTCCATGGCTAAAGAGAGCTCTTAAAGCCTTAGAAATTCCTCTTATTTCTAAGATGCTATTTATCATTTAGTTCTTGGGAGCCAACTTTACTTCTAAGAACACTCCTTGAAAAAGCTTTGGAGTCTCTTTATTTTAAGTGTGTGCAGTGTATGACTCTCTCATTGACCAAGCTATTGGTTTGTCTACTCTCCTAACTATAAAAAATTAAGCAATATAAGTCTTTATTGGAAGAGAAACTTCCTAAATTTAGCACTAAATTCTTTTGTCTAAGTTGCTATTGGGCAAAATGAGGCTTTATTATGGGAGGAGATGAATTATTCTATAGGCATGGAGAGCACTTTTGACCAACCAACATCTCTAGTTTTGGATTTGTTCACCATAACATACTAGGATTTGGATTCTTCAATCAACATGATAATTGTGTAGTATAATTATCCATGTTAATCAAATACTTTAGTTTGAGGAGTTTAGCACCCAAAATATTGTTATTTACAAATCAAGCAATAAGGTTATTTTTTTTTTAACTACCGAACTAATGTATTTAAGTGTGCGATGATCAAACCACCAAGAATTTGATAAAAATGAAAAATATGAGTTAGGGTTTCATCATGAATTTTGATATTTGAGCGAGAATTTAAAAAAAGGGATGAAAGTTGGTGCTTGATTTGTAAATAACAAAGTTTCGGGCGCTCGCATGCAATTGCAACTAGGGCAATCAAAACGGCTTGTTGCTCATGAATAGCTTGCATTCGACTCGTTAAGTAGCTTTTGTTCAATTCGTTCGAAAATCAAAAGAGCCAAACAAACAATTTTTTTTTTTTTCACTAGATATATAAAAGAGCTAACCACGAACAAAAATTTGTTTATTTGTGTTTGGTTGGTTTTAGTTCAAAATAATTAAATATACATATATGTGTATGTGTGTGTCTATATATATATATATATATATATATATATATTGATGAGTATTATTTTTAAATAATTTAATTGACTACAAGACTACAAAGAATTATATCAATTAAAATTATTAATTAAAAATAGAATAAAATATATTAAATAATATTTAAATGAATATTTTAAATATAAATAATAAGATTTAAATCTTGCCCTTACCCTTAACATTTTATGGCTTAGTGACTAGGGATGTCAAAATAGCTTGTTTTTCGCGAATAGCTCATGTTCTGCTCGTTATGCAAATGAGCATAACACAAACAAATTTTTTGAGCTTGATATATTAATGAGTCTAACACGAAGAATGATATTTTTTTTAACCAGTACACAAGCCAAACTTCTCGTTTACACCTCTAATTGCAACACCCCCAACCCAAAAAGAAGATATTCCTTTCTAATAAATTTAAATTTTTTTACATAAATTATTTTGTGTGCACCCCAACTGTCGGCATGAATATTAAAGCATTTGAACCTAGACAACGACTAGACAACCAAGGTGTCCTACCGCCCTATTGCCAACTGCATGGTCATGAATCGACCGACACACTGTGGTGAGAGATTCGAAAGACATACCACGCCGACGGTCCCAACCGACTGGGGCGTAGGCAGAAATCTTTGATCATCATTAATCATTCGAGCTGCCTTTATCGAGAAGGACAAGATTGATATTCAACCAGGCGCCTTGGCCGACCGACACATACTTCAAAGAGACAAAGTTGCCACTAAGCCAGCAGCCTCAGTAGGCCAAATTCAAGCTAGTCGGCCAGTCAATTGCCCCCATATTAAAATTCAAAATGTAGCAGAGATATGGTATAAATTTTCATACGATCAATAAGAGTATCCATTGTATTAAGAGTGTTTTCAATAACCATTCACTCCTATAAATAGGCGGCAAATGTACAAATAAAGGAACCTTTACCAATTCGTTGTATAGAAATCTCCTCACTTGCTATTTTCTTCTTCTCTCTTCCTTCCTTCACTCAATCCAAAACTCTCAGGACATATTCACAGAATAATTTAGGATCCAACATATATATAATTTATTAATGAGTCATTATAATATAATTCAATCAGGCCAAAAAAAATACCCCAATTGCATATGAGCTTTTATTAAAAGACTAAATCATTTTAGATTTTTGAGAACTATACTTTCATAATTGAAAGAGTCAATTAATATGAATAAATCAAATAATTAATAATTATAGTTTATGCTGACCAATCACAAACAAGCCCCTTGTCATTCAAACTCCACTCAAAAAAGCAACTCACTAATTAATAATAATAATAATAATAATGACAATATTATTATTATTATAATCATAATTATCAATATCATTACTTTTCTAATAATGAACAACCCTTCCAAAGGTGCAAAGCTTTTCTTCTAGAAAGACAAGGCTTCCTTTTGAATTAGACCAAATAGGGGCTGATGAGGACAAAGTGGATGACAAAGAAAACCAAGAAAATATTTTTAATAAATTAATAATAATAATAATAAATTTGACTTATTTCAACATGTTGTAAGCTTACATCATCTTAATTCTTAGCTTCTTTGAACATTTTTAAAAACATTACATTTTAATATTTACATAAATACCGCTCAATTCTTATTTATTTACATATCTAAAACCGAAACTTCAATTTTTACAAATATGCTTCTTTAATGCATAAGAACATGTGTATGTCAATTTTTTTCAAGTTAAAATGATGGTATTTTTTATGAGATATGAAAATTTTGGACGGTATAGATGTAAATTTAAAAGTTTAGGTTGGGAACATAGGGTTTGTTTGATGATATTATATTTTTTTTGGGTTAAATAACTAAAATTCATTGTTATACATGACAAACAATCATGAAAAAGATGCATGAATTATATAAAGCTTTGTATTATAGTTTACACTAATTTTTTGACCTCTTAGTACTTGTAAAAAGGAAGATTTACAACCATGACACTCAATTTCCATGTATTTACATATCCAACATCTAAAGTATAATTTTTTGCATTTATGTCAATTTACATGTAAAATAAAGTATTTGAGTGTATAGATATTATTAGTTCGGTTTAAATTTTAGATATGAAAATGGAGAAATTGGGTGATAAAAATTAAATAAATCATTTTTAATTTTTGTTTTTTTACTTTTTTTTTATTATTTTTATTATTTTTCTGCGTTCGTTCCAAATAAAAAGGTCAATTAACGGCTAAATAATATATAAAAATGACTTATATAAAATGTTTAAATGTCCGGATTTTGGGGGTTTTTTTGCAAATAATTAAATAGTTTCTAAATTGTCTTAATTCAAGTACGAACAACTAGGGGTGTAAACGAGCCGAACACGAACGAGCTCGTTCGTGTTCGGCTCGTTTACACCCCTAGTTGTTCGTACTTGAATTAAGACAATTTAGAAACTATTTAATTATTTGCAAAAAAACCCCCAAAATCCGGACATTTAAACATTTTATATAAGTCATTTTTATATATTATTTAGCCGTTAATTGACCTTTTTATTTGGAACGAACGCAGAAAAATAATAAAAATAATAAAAAAAAAGTAAAAAAACAAAAATTAAAAATGATTTATTTAATTTTTATCACCCAATTTCTCCATTTTCATATCTAAAATTTAAACCGAACTAATAATATCTATAAATTGATAGTATTTCAAGCCGAACACGATATTTGTTCGTGTTATTCGTGTTCGGCTCTCTAACTTCTTAATGAGCCGAACATGAGCTTCTTCATGAGCCGAACGCGAGTTGTTCGTGAACAATGAGCCGTTTTGACAGCCCTACAAACAACTAATTGATTTTAATATTAAATTAAAAAAAAAAAAGAAAAAAATGCATGTTTGATATGTTACCAAAACCTCGAGGGTATATATGAAAAGAAATATATAGGAAACATAAAAGAAAATTGAAATATATTATTTCATATATAAATCTTCTTATTTTGCAATTAGTATAATATAGCTATTTATTGCCTTCCAATTTATATCAATCAACCTTACAAATAAATCCCAAAAAAGTTCAAAAATTCATTATGCAATATTGTCAATTATCCCCATGTTCTATACTAAATGAATAATGAGCTAAACGGCTCTTCAGTTCAAAGCAAATATAATAGCATCATTACATATTAACAAAAATACACATCCACAGGTTTACAATGACTGAGGAAAATCAAAAATTACAAATTTATTCCTTAATTTGTTTGATATGCAATATTACAAATAAATCCGGGTGAAAAAGATAATGAGACAGCAAGAGCACCAGGATTGGGGAGGTTGAGGAAATGGAATCATTTCACTACTCTCCGTTGAGAATGGGAACAATCAATGGGTTCATCTGTGCAAGATACACAATTGCCCACCTAAATATACAAACAAAATAAGTTATATACATCCAAAAAATTGAAAGAATCAAGATGTATATATGCTGCAAAAAAAATTCACATAATCATCAAGATTTACTTTATTCAATAATTGTTTCATATTGATTTTATGAATTTTCATTTTACGTGCGAGGAAAGTGCCAAAATAGTCCCCGGTGGTCCCAGAGTTTATAGAAGTGTTAAAATAGTACCCAGAATCTTTAAATTGAGGCAGAAATAGTCTCCATAGAGTACTTTTAAAGCTTAATTTTAAACTAGTCAGGCGGTTATTTTGACAATTCTATAAAATTTGAGACTAAAACAGCCTCTTTTCATTTATTTCGTATGATTTAGGTTTTACATGTATTATCTACCCGCAACTTGTCCCAACTCTTGATCGTATCATCTCCTCTTTTGTTAAATTTTGTTGAGAAACGCATGACACGTTAACATTGAATTACGAGTTATGAAAAAAAGTTATCTTTGATCGATTGTTTCTCATCATATTGTTCTATCTATGAACCATAGTAATGTCTTTCGATCTTTCTTATGCCCCAACAAGTCCTTTCTTTAAGGATAAGACAAATTTTTTGATTGAATGAGTCAGAAGAAAACTTGAGAAAATTATAAGAATTATAATCCTCATAAATTTTCTTAATAGATACTTTAAACTTTTAAAGTAATCAATCTCATGATATTTTTAGGAAGATTTATACCACTCAATTCCTATTTATTTACATATCTAACATTCAATTTTAACATACATGTTACCTTAATGATTTGGAAGGCACAAATGTAAAAAAATCAAAGTTTAAATGTTACATATGTCAATACATAGAAATTGGGCGGTATGTATATAAATGCTCCATTTTTATTAATCCTTGCCAAATAACTTTCTTGGCACGAGCTGCAAAAAATAATAATTTTGAGTTTTCATTTATTGTTGGCCCTATACACTTGCGAAAAGCAAGAGGTTTGTGATAAAACTCCTCCTATAAGCTTTCTAAAAGAGGCCTCAAAGTGTTTGATATTGCAAAGTAAACCAAAATAAAAGTTAATAGAAAAGAACTGAACTCACCAAACATTCAACGCAATACCGAGGTTATCAAAAGACTCGCCTTATGTTTGTACTAAAACATTCTGACTCTTCCGAGTATTGATCTTTGTGAACTTCTAATCTCAAGTCATGAAATGAAGTAGGATGAAGAGTGAACCAACTCACCCAACTCGATAATCATCACTCCATCCCACTTGTAAAGAGTGAGAAATTATGAAGGCCCTCAAAGAGAATTGGAGAAGATGGAAACAAAATCAAGATTTAATTTAGTTATTAATGTTAGAAAATACAAAGCAGCAACTATGGTTATTAGTAGAGCATAGAGGTTGCATATTGGCATGAAATTAAAGGACAAAAAGAGTAATTTTTATGTCTTCTGAATTTCATTTTTCTGAATTTAATTTGTCTCAACTCAGATTCCAACTGAGCTAATTAGTTCTCTACAAAACGGAACAAATTCAAGATACTTTCAAGTACGAGGAGCTACAGTTCCTTCTCCTGAAAGACAACATATGGGTTAAGCCCCGTAGTTAGACAGCTTATTCCATATCTGAAACTAAACCATCATGGTCATAAATCAAAGGAGAACAAAATATTAATTTGATTTCCGATGTTGATGTTGATCCATAGGAAGGAAAATATCAAAAGATTAAACATGCTATCTTTAGTTGGCCAGCCAAGCAAAAGTGCTTTTAAGTTTTAAGTTGTAATCATGCGGATGCCCCATGCATCATAAAAACTGGAAAAATCTAGATTGAAAAGTTAAATATTATATTTCTCTTAGTCTCTTGGTGGGCCTTATAATAATTAAGGAGAATAATTATTTTTCAAATCAAGAGGGCAGCCAACCACAATTTCAGGAAATAGGAATAAAGAACATGTGCCTATTTTTCAATTGCTAAAATCAAATCTTCAATCAAGTTGGCGATAGAATATGGACGGAAGATCAATTACATGTGTTAATTTTCAAATTTGGAGTCAGTAAAGTAGTATTTCAGAAATCAAAATCTAAGAAAAAAAGGGAACTATTGCACATGTGAATAATTTCAAATATTATATTTTGGAGACGAGAAATATTAAAAGTTAATTGATATTTCAGCTAAAAATGGGAAAATATTGAAGATTCCGGTCAAAGCAAGGTAATACCAAGAATTTTGGGTCTATTCAAGTTCCAAAATTTGCTCTCACATATTAATTTTGTTCTTTATTCTTCTCTTTCTCTAACGTTACTTAATTCATGTAAGGCTTAGAGTTCATTCCTCGTGAATTAGGTAGCACTTCCAATAATACAATGATTGAAACTATTGTTCAAGCTTCCCGCCTAAGACTCATTATAGTATTATACCCACTTTGTCTCAGATACCAAAATGATAAAGTGTAAAGAGTATGGTGGATATAGATAATATCATAATAAGTGAAATAGCATACAACTTTAACAAAAATTTCAATCATTATTTTGTTGGAAGAAACATCTAACTTAGAGCCATCAAATCATACCTAAAAAAGCTGCATTCAATAAGCTGCAGCTGCCCCAAACAGACCCTAAGAGCCATCAAGCCTCAGCCTCAAAAGAGAACTAAAATCTCACTAAAGTTCACTCATTCTCAATCATCGACATTACAAAAGAGTAAAAGAAAAAGAATGAAAAAGAAAAGTACTAAATGAAAGTAATTAATTGAGAATTAACAAAAGAATCATTCCATTGCTTTGGCCAAAATCTTCAAGTTTCTCCCATATTTGGCCGAAACATTAACTTTCCAATATGTCGTGCCACCAAAATTCAATGTTTGAAATTTGTGTAAATTCAATGTTTGAAATTTATTAACACGTGCAATAATTCATTTCCTTGGTTAAGGGTTTAAATTTTGAAATATATCATATTCATTAGCTCCAACTTTAACACATGCAACTGACGTTCTCCCCATACATAGCCGATCCATTGATTTAAATTTTGATTGTGACCATTCTAACACACATGCTTCATTTCTCCTTCCAAAGCTTGATTGGACATCGTCTTAATGTGAAAAATAATTACTCCCATTAATTATTATAAAACCCACGAAAATAATTAGGGCGTTATAATATTAATTTCTTCCAATATGGATTTTTTTTTTTTGCTTTCATAATTCATGGAACAACCATATAATTGCAACTTCAATTTTAAAATCTCATTAGCATGGTTAAGCAAATAAAGATAGAAATCAAGCTACTTTATAACTCTATAGCTTTGAATTTTCTTTTCTTTAAAAAATAATTCTAAAGCCATTAATGTGAAAGTAATAGTAATAAAACATGATATGAAGGAACGCTCAAATAATTAGCTAAATTGATGCTAGTCTATTATATGACCATATTTAAAATTTTAATATGATATTTCATGCCAAGCACTTCTTAATTGAAATGCAATTAATTCATGAGCTCGTCTTGCGTCCATTTTTCATTTATTTCTATCAAGTGCCACCTAAAATAATAAATTATTCTTTATAAATTATATATTGAACTAACTTAAATCTATGAATGCTCCTTTATAATCATTTCATATTATTTTAGTTTCCCATTTAAAGAGAGCATTTTTTTATCCAGTGATGCAGGTCTAAAATGCCAAATATATTTTAAATATTACTCCAACCATTCATCTTATATATAATCATTCCTTAGCATTTTTTTCGTAATTTCGTCACACAGATTCTTCTTCTTTTTCCATGCTCAGGTTAACAAACAATTTTTTATTGCACAACACGAGAAGCCATGCAACATTATTGGCATAAACACAATTTGATAAAAATTATATTTCAAGCCTCCACAACATCTTCTTACTAAATAACACTCATGAGGCACCCCCTTCATTGCAATAACTCCAACTTTATATCTAGAGGTTATATCATTGTCTACTTCATCATTCTTATATATTATTACGCACAAGTTCAAAAAAAAAAAATGCTGGGCAATTTCATAATCATGCATCATTAATTATGATTGATTTGAGCTGATTAAAATTAGCCAAAATGGCAAAATAATCAAATCAATTAAAAAATCACTCCACATCTGCTACCAAATACCCAATTAGAAAACTAATTGTCAAGCAACTATGAATTTCTCAGTGCATTAACCAGTCTTTT